GTTCAGCCTGGAGAAAAGAAGGCTGTGGGGTGACCTCATTGCAGCCTTTCAGTACCTAAAGGGAGCCTAACAGGAGGGGAATCAACTCTTTGAAATGGTGAGTGACAGCAGGACAAGGTGAAATGGTTTTAAGCTGAGGGAAGGGAGATTTAGGTTGGACGTCAGGGGGAAGTTCTTTACAGAGAGAGTGGTGAGGTACTGGAACAGGCTGCCCAGAGAGGTTGTGGATGCCCCGTCCCTGGAAGTGTTCAAGGCTGGGTTGGATGGGGCCCTGGGCAGCCTGGTCTAGCATTAGGTGGAATGGTTGGTGGCCCTGCGTGTGGCAGGGGGATTGGAGCTTCATGATCCTTGAGGTCCCTTCCAACCCTGGCAATTCTGTGATTCTGTGATTCTGTGATTAATTCAAGTTGTTCTCCACTGAGTAGTTTATAGCAGATGGCAAAGCATTTGCGGATGTTCATCTGATAGTCATCTGATATTCCAGACTTCTGAAAGACTTACTGGCCCAAAAGTATTGTTTCTAACCCAAAAATGAATTTTTAACTCATACTGACAAAGTCTGTATGCTGTACAAATATATCTATTTGTTTTATAGCAAATCGTTAATGGTGAAGATAAAAAACTGGTTAGGAATATCACTAATTAAAGGGTATTTAGAATTAGAATAATTAGAATAATTTAGAAGATTTCTATTTTGTTTCACTAGAGGCTATCAAATGCTTGTTTCTTCTTGCATCTTTCTAGGGCAGAAGTATGAATTAAGTTGTAATACACTGTTGGAAGGAATTCACTAGCAGTTCTGCAAAGACACTTACAGGTGAACTACCTTTCCCATCAGTATCATTAGGTTCTCCTGGCTTTTTCATGCTTCTTCGAGTCGATCCTCTTCTCAGTCCTTTCTTTAAGGATTCATCCAAATTTGATTGAGATCCACTTCTTTTGACACTGACTGCATTCTCATCTTTTTCTGATGATGCATCTTCAGTTTCTATTGCCTAAAACAGGGAAGAATATAATGCTAAGATTAATAATGCATATAGAGTTTTGAACTTTCAAAATTATGAGAAAATAAAATTAATTGAAGTCACAATTCAGAGGAAAGAGATAAGGGCAGAGTAATGCGTAATGTTACAAGCAGATATGAAATATTGCATTATATTTGAGTAGATCTCCATATTCAGATTCATTTATGAGTACACAACCTCTCAAGAAAATATTTACAGTAAGTGGAGGTAAGGAAAGTATGAAATCCTAACAATGTTTTGAATTCTATGAACCATTTGCATTTATCTTGGGATTTTAGGGACACACCCTTCATCCATGAAGTGAGAAAATTGCCTACCTGTCCATACAGAACACTGTGAACGATTCTTGACTTTAATTTAAATGGAGAAGTCCAACAAGAAACAAGTCAAAAAGAGACTTTGACTGAAAAATGTGAATAAACTGAAAAAGTTTCAGTGGTATTTTATGCAGTGTCTTTGGCAGAAGGAGTAAGTATCTATCTATTCTTATTGGTTCTTGTGCTATTAATAAAAACTATTTTTTTTCTTTTGTTCCATATTTTTCTAATGTATTTCAAGTTATAGAAATTGTTTTTATTTTCAGTCCAATTTACATTTCCTACCTTTTTCTCATTATCACATCGATCTGAACACAAAATTACTTTGAATCTAAGATGACCAAATGCCTTCTCATAGGCAAATATCTTATGGATATTTTATGAAGAAATGTTTTAATTGGCCTTGTTTAACCTTTTTAGTCTGACAAAGTGAGATATTTATTTCAGTTTCTTCAGTGCGTGTGATGGTTATGCATTAAGATACCATGTCACAGAAAGCTATGGAAAAGCTCAGATATAACGTAATTATAACATGACACTGGATTGTTTTCCTTTTATTCCTGTTTGTTTATTTTGTTAAAAAGAACTTCAGCATAAAGGGTTATAATCAAACACTTTAAGTATGCATGCCCTATCCCTCCAGTAATCCACTACCATATTTTACTTTTTATCATAGGCTATTGATATTAGCTGTTTAGTAGGTGAATATAGAATAACCTTGTAATTTTCAATCCCTGAACGGTTTTAAAATGTACTATCCTGGGTTTAAATACCTCTGATGTGAAATCCAGTGGTTTCATCTATGAAATATTTTTGCTCTTGAAAAGCAGACTGCAGAATTCCTACAGAATACTGCTGAGAGCACACAGTAATTATGGGCACAGAACACAAAAAAAATAAATGAGGCAAAAGCAGGGAAAAATGTACCTGCATGTTCACAAGTTTGTAGTAGATTCCCTTTTTTTCAATCAGTTGAGAATGATTCCCTTGTTCTGTGATAACTCCGCTTTCAAACACAGCGATAAGATCTGCATTTCGAACTGTTGACAGACGATGAGCGACTACAACTGTGGTCCGTCCTTCTCTTGCCTAGATAGAATAATAGTTAAAATAAATATTTCCAAGTATGTTCAAAAGAGTTGATCTTTACGTTAAGGTTGAATAAGACCTAATGGAACATTAAAAATAATACAGAAAAAAAAAAGTAAGTTTTAAAACAGTTTGAAAAAACAGATTTCAAGAAGTATCTTACAACCCTAGGTCTTCTGCAAGGGCGTAGAAGGAGCCATTTTTGTAAGGTAATCTGACCAAGAAAAGCTAAGTAATTAACTTTTACGTTAACTGTATTTCCATCAATATTTTTCCAGAAATTGTCTTTCTCTGCCCAGAACTATTATTCCAAATGGCACCAGCAGACAGCATTACAGTACGGCAGCTGAAATAGAATCTGTCTGGGTAAATTAGAACATTTGGTGGTCTGGCCCTAGAATAAATGTAGAGATTCTTGCGTTACATGAGGGATCAGCTATCGCTTAATGAGATAGCTTACCATGAGAACAGAATGAGAATCTAGAGGTATTCATATTAACAGAAGGAAATGTTTCCTTGGAGTGTTTCTTGATGGATCACTGCTACAAACATGTTACAACATGCTGGTAGCTCTTATTCTCTCTGTCAGGCTTCAAAACAAATTAAGTAGGTCACTGACAATTACATGCATATCGATAGGACTGATGATGGCAGGAGATGTTATTTACACTGAGAATTTTTTTAATGTAAGATTAATAATGCAGAATATATAACTCCAAATCCTCACTCGAAACAAGATTCTTCTCTGCAATACACGTAGAAAACAAAAAAATTATCTGTACAGAGAATATTTGCTAAATCATTGTTCACCTTCTGCATTTTAAAGGTCTCCTTGTGATTCTTTCAATAAAATTTGGAAGAAAAGTACATCTTAGGCTCCTTCTTACCTGCTTTATATCACAGCAATACTGACCTTGTCCAGCGCTGCCTGCACAACGGATTCACTCTCAGTATCCAAAGCTGATGTTGCCT